TTCCAGCAGCTTCAGCCTTTGGTGTTTACATTTTACTTTTGAGATACTATCGCGCATGCCATTTCTACCCGGATTTTAAAGAGCGTCATACGACTCTTGCTCTGATTAGGTTTGCAACCTTCAAGGCCTCAGTAAAGCTTCCATAAAGTGTTATGGTAGACATGTGTTTCTTCAGGTGAACATTTGACTTCCCTGTGCATGTGTTTGTGACGGGTGTCGCCTGAGGGGCAGGAAACGCCCACCTGTTCGCAAACACCTGGTATAATCACTATTTGAAAGTGATTCATTAACACGTGCTCATGATATTGTCGGAATCGTACAATCGACTCTGCTTTATGCAAATATTTCTATTGGATATGGAAAGGGTTTTGTCGCTTTTTTTATTTTGTGTTTATTATGTGTGTATATATGTGTGTGCGTGTGTCTGTATTTTTATGTGTGTGTGTTTATTTGTCTTGTTATGTGTCGATTACAACATTAACTAGGTTTACAAATCAACACAATTTACTGCACAACAATAACAATGGCAGAATACAATTGAGCAGTTGTCCAATATTCAATAGCAATATATAATATGATGGCAGTGGCCAGTATCAAATACAAAAATACAGTGGTGATAGCAAACGTCAGTGATGATAATATATCCACCCAGCGGCGACAGTGGCCAAGCTTCCGAGATGGTCCTAGGCAGGGAATGCGGGGTGATACGTGATCTTCACACGAAAGCTGGTCTTGATGTAATGAAATGTGTGAGAGACGAAATGTGTGAGAGGCAAGAGTCAAGTGCTGTAATGACCGGACTATTAGAATAAGCGAGATTTAGAATTACCTTCCTTGGGTGTTGACACGCATAACAGATTTGATCTATCAAGAGATTTTGTGATATGACAGTTTGTAGACGGCTTGCTGTACCTATTATATCAGATCGACGCGAACGTAATTCAAGGCATATTTCGATCTGACTTGCAGCTTTTCCACTTGCCAAATGCGGATTGAATATCTATCTGTAAACACAGTATTTCTGCCAACTTCCAACACTGCCACTGCCACTTCTGTCACTTATTTGACCCTTGTTATTTTACCATAAACCGAATATAATTTATTTATTCTTCATTGGTAGTTTGTTTTGGAGTTAACATTTATATTTCAATTTGGAAATGGCTTCGTAACATTACTGATGTAACTATATCGATGGTCACCATCGATTTAGTGACAAATGTACAATGGATCAAGTCTTGTCCACCTAGGCCTATTCGTGTTATACCATGTGTCATAACATTTACAATGTCCGTGGGAGGGTGTTGTCTGAGTTAAGATAACTGTGGTACAGGCATTTGGTCTTTCAATGGCAGTCATATTGATGTGTGCTTGAAGGACTGTACTTGGTAAAAAAAAGTCTGATAGTCCCTTAGGGATCCTGACTTCAAAACTAGACCATTCCGCGTCATTATCTATCCCCAAAAGTATTACAGTCAGGGCCCATCTTGGTAACTGATATGCAGTAAACAGGGATGTTAGGTGCATTTATAACTGTCAAGTCTCAAATTTGTGGTTGACAAGTTTATATCATGTGCAAAATACCAACAAATGCCCAAACTTGTCACACAGCGTTGGAAGCGTTCTACAACATGGTTTCACTGTACTGTGCAGCGCAGGTAGACTTTACCTGTGAACCCAGCCCATCTGTAGAGTCGGCCAATTGGTACAGATAAAACCGGCAATGATTCAGATAGCTTGGAGATGCTAGGGGATGTGCCCACTCCACCCTTCAAAATACCTTATACATTGGTCTGTTGTACAAATTCAAGGTTGGCGTGTCCCAGTGAACCTCAAGCTGTTGACACTTGCATTGTTCCTTGGTACCGTTTTTCCCTAAACCATTAACGAGTTGTCTTGTTTCCTTGTTTAACTGTTGATTAATACTGGGAGAGAAACAGTGATAAATATTATTTAATTCAACGTTCCAGCTGTGCATTTATGTCATCATCAGTATTACGCCGAAGTCCGTTATTAAGGATAACACACAATGCGACTGGCGGTTATCAATACAGGGTATGCCCTCCAAGTCACGATTCAGACGAACGTTAATGTGTTCAGAAAATTTACTTCCGAAGAGACACCTTAATCCTTTTGTTAATCATCTTGTTTTAAAGCCCTATAATCCGATCAGCCTAATTGGGCCGCATGCGCAGTAAATGTGTCACATATAAGGGAAAATGGGCCGATCCTGCTATTAATAGTAACCAACGTGTCTCGATCTAAAACACATGTGGTGCATCGTTATGCATACTACTGTACTTGTAACAATTTACCGTTTTATATAACTTCATTATCAAAAGGTACCTATGTTCAATCGAGGAACACGGCGTTGCAGCTGCAGTAATTTACAGATACAGTTGTAGTAGTTATTATTGATCACACAGACAATACCTGCAACTGAATAGATTATTAAGATTGCTTGTTTGTCAATATGGAAAAATATGTTTTTCATATAATGAGCTCTTGCAAATTTCTAATGGGTATCTAAACTAAGTAAATTTTGTCAGGTCGCTTTCACGTTCGTTCACTGCTCATATTTTTCAACACTTTCAATCTTTTGTCCAAGTTTACTATTCCAGTGAATGTTGATCCAATGCACCAAGAATCCATTCGAAGTTTGTTCCATTACCACGGATGGGACAACCATGGCGCTGTGCAGGATGTTTCAAAATGTGATGAGAGTTCAGACGCAGGAAAGTGATGCAACGATTGCTGAACCCATTGAAGACAAATTGAATGATTGAGGTATATATATCACCCGTCAAGAAACCTCGTCCCAGGAATCTCCTAATCTCCTAATTGAATTGGTGCTGAAGATGAGGGGAATGTTTGGGATTGTGATGTTAAGTGTTAAGTGTTAAGACTTCTCCTGATGTGTAATTCCACTATTCACAACATGCATATACCCTTAAAGAAACACTGCCAATATATCTTAAGTTGATAACTTTGTTTGTAGAATCTAGAATGAATTTATATTCGTGTCACTGTGTAATAATGTGAACAACATATAAGCAAATTGTTATTGGCTTTAAGTTGCCAAATCCAGATTTATTTTATTTGGAATTCTCTTGTCAAAAGTTGTCTACATCGCTTCTATCATATTGGGGAAACTTAAGGGAAGCCATAAGATAATTGGCGCTGATAGGTGGTTATCTACCCCGTGCTTGGGATTTATTGCGTTGATCATTGTCGGTACTTATTATCCAGCTGGCTTCCATTTGTCCATTGTGATTTCCATTCTATTTCCCATCAGTGCTAATTACTCCAAGACTCCCGCTTGCCCATTGTCCATTGCCTGTTACCGATCAGTGATAAGTAAAGTATTGGCTTCCATTTGTCCATTGTCCATTGCCTGTTACCGATCAGTGATAAGTAAAGTATTGGCTTCTATTTGTCCATTGTCCATTGCCTGTTACCGATCAGTGATAAGCAAAGTATTGGCTTCTATTTGTCTATTGTCCATCACCTATCAGCACCGAGTATCTGTTGGCTTCCCTTGTTGAGTTTCCACCTTTGTAATCTTATGACTTCATATATAATGTTTTCTACCTCATCGCATTTATTCACCTGATAAAGGAGTGAGTAGATAGAGAATACGACACTCATTCACGTTAGATACCATATTTACGAAACGAGTGGACTTTCTATGGTATCTGACCGAGCGAAAGCAATGGTATCTAACGAGAATGAGTGTCGTATTGTATTTATTACCCACGTTAAATATGTATGTAAGTGTAAATACATAACAACTTTTGTTCGTTGACAGGCCAAACTGAAACCGGTTGCAAAATCTTGTTGCGCATGAATATTGACATATGCCCAAATATGGGCATTGCTTACATTCCTATGCATACGCATTAACAACATGCGCCTGCAGTTGTGTTTTCAAACATAACAGCACCGACGTTCAAGATCCTGGACGTTCATGGAAGAATTTCTTCAACTTATGAGAATTCAAGCGCCATGTTGTTAGTACGCAGAGCACCTATAAGAACATTTGAAAAGTTACATAAGCGCCGCGCTTTGAATATCGGACCAACAGTTGGTCACTTGTGCATTCAAAATGGTGCGGTTTCCTTGATCTATCAGCTGAATTTATATCATGTCCGTACCATTTTGGAAGAGTGACATCAGAGTATTCGCCAAAGACATTCATGTTCACTGTACCACCCTTTACTGAAGACGTGAAAATCAACACGCTCAAGTCTGCTTGCATGTCAGTGACAGCTTCGAACGAAGGGCAAAGTCACCACCGGAATAAGAAAAGACAACCGTGATCTACTCAGCGTTTTACGCGAGAGATAGGGAATGTTATTGTTCACCTTTCAGATATTTGGGGCGACAAAATCAGAAATCAGGCACACTTCTACGGAGTATTCGAATGAGTTGTATCGGAAATGTTCACTTTTAGTGATCTGGTCGTGCAGTCGTGAACAAACAACTCCCGAAACAGTGCCACAAAATACAACAACCGGATCATTACAAGTAAGTCTAGATATCTGTCAAGATAGTTTAAACTGACTTCATTTCACCACGCTTATCCTTTTACGTTAAATCTTGTTTGGTTTAATAAAGTGTTTGTTAATATCCCTCGCTCACATGAGAATGCTTCTGTTCTGCCTTGTAGTTGCAAAATGAATGACGTCTCGCGATTTTTTATGAATGAAAAAACTAGTACCGGTGTGACAGAGGCCGCGGTTATCCAATCAAAACGAATAAAACAAGTTCAACCTTGTACGACACACGTGCGAAGTACGTATTTAGTATCTTACCACCTGTATCTTCAGCACGTGGGTAATGAATACTCCGAACCCTTGTGTTCCTCATAATAAAGAAGTTGGCATCCATAAATTCTCTTCCTTATGAAATTTGAAGGGTTGTTATCAATAGACAATGACATGTCTACAGAGACAGACAGAAACTCATCTCATTACAAACATGTATATTATTTATTGTGTTTATTTTCTATCATCAAATAAAAATGTATATGTATTTGATTTGGTATCACACTGCGATTACGATGTACGTCTCAACACAACCACGAAGTTGTTGAGTGGTCTTGTCATTCAGGGTGAGTTTTACGTGGTACTCTCCCTGGAAAAGATATTGAACACAGGAATATATCAAATACATGCCCAAGCGGTCATAATGATCACTAAACGTCATCAAACGGTAATTCGCTTTGTTTAACTGTTGTCAGTCTTTGGCTCTGAACGAGAAGAACACCCTGACAAGCACACATTGTCAAATATTATTTGAAAATATTATTTCCAAGTTTCGGCAATCATCACAGACAGACAGACAAGAAAAGGTGTGTCTTTTCTCACCTGTGCAACTGATCCTTTATATTGGTTAAAATCAATCATCATTTGGCTGATAGTATTTACTTACGTCAGCCAAGAATTTCCAGGTATCTCTGATGCTGGTGACGGTGAACTTGGAAGGGGGCAGTTGGAGCTTGTCGGGGTTGAAGGGACAGGTGCAGGGGAGGCCGTTGGCAGTCAGCTGGGGCGGACAGGTACCCCGTGGATTGAAGAAGTTCAGGAAGTGGCAGGGGTCGGTGTAGTGGCTGTGGGCAAACCAATATATACTCATCGACAAAAGAAACGCGAATAACATACGTTTTGGTTAATATATAAGGAATGTTTATATTCGTTAGATATTAGATTGTTCGATGCACAAACGGACATAATGGTATGCTGTGTGCACCATTTGTCTCTTGCAGGATAAGCGTGTATTTCTTCACTTTTTGTATTCATTACAGAAAAAACATGACCTATGATACTATACCTTGTTGCCAGTATATAATATGATCGATTACAATATATTTTCATCTTACAGATTGATGTGGTGTTGTTTTATACCAGATGTATACTCAAACATTAAAATCTCTTCATCAGTTCTTGCCACTTAGTGTTGAAAGTAGGAATGTTATTATTCTTTATTGCTGTGTATACTCATAATGTGTAAAGTTTGGAGATCATGTGCAGCATATCATATTAAGAATATAGACACTCTGTGGTAACACTTCACTGATTGTTGGTCAGTGCTGAAAACTCCGTTCACCTCATGTCAGTCAGTGCTGGAAACTCCGTTCACCTCATGTCAGTCAGTGCTTAAAACTCCGTTCACCTCAGACTGGTCAGTGCTGGTAATTCCATTAACCTCATGTCAGTCAGTGCTGGAAACTCTGTTCACCTCATGTCAGTCAGTGCTTCAAACTCCGTTCACCTCATGTTAGTCAGTGCTGAAAACTCCGTTCACCTCATGTTAGACAGTGCTTGAAACTCCGTTCACCTCAGAGTAGTCAGTTCTGGAAACTCTGTTCACCTCATGTTAGTCAGTGCTTGAAACTCCGTTCACCTCATGTGAGTCAGTGCTTGAAACTCCGTTCACCTCATGTTAGACAGTGCTGGAATCTCTGTTCACCTCATGTCAGTCAGTGCTTGAAACTCTGTTCACCTCATGTCAGTCAATGTTTGAAACTCTATTCACCTCATGTCAGTTAGTGCTGGAATATCTGTTCACCTCATGTCAGTCAGTGCTGGAAGCTCTGTTCACCTCATATCAGTCAGTGCTGGAAACTCTGTTCACCTCATGTTAGTCAGTGCTTGAAACTTCGTTCACCTCATGTCAGTCATTGCTGGAAACTCCGTTCACCTCTTGTCAGTCAGTTCTGGAAACTCCGTTCACCTCATGTCAGTCAGTACTGGAAACTCTGTTCACCTTACGTCAGTCAGTGCTTGAAACTCCGTTCACCTCAGACTGGTCAGTGCTTGAAACTCCGTTCACATCATGTCAGTCAGTGATTGAAACTCCATTCACCTCTTGTCAGTCAGTTCTGGAAACTCCGTTCACCTCAGACTGGTCAGTGCTGGAAACTCTGTTCAACTCAAGTAGGTCAGTGCTTGAACCTCCGTTCACCTCATGTCAGTCAGTGCTGGAAACTCTGTTCACCTCGTGTTTGTCAGTGCTGGAATCTCCCTTCACCTCATGTTACTCAGTGCTGGAAACTCCGTTCGCCTCATATTTGTCAATGTTGGAAACTCCATTCACCTTATGTCAGTCAGTGCTGGAATCTCCGTTCACCTCATGTCAGTCAGTGCTGTAAACTCCATTCACCCCATGTCAGTCAGTGCTGGAAACTCTGTTCACCTCATGTTAGTCAGTGCTTAAAACGACTTTCACCTCAGAGTAGTCAGATCTGGAAACTCTGTGCACCTTATGTTAGTCAGTCCTTGAAACTCCGTTCACCTTTTGTTAATCAGTGCTGAAAACAACGTTCACCTCAGACTGGTCAGTGCTGGAAATTCCGTTCACCTCATGTCAGTCAGTGCTGGAAATTCCGTTCACCTCATGTCAGTCAGTGCTGGAAATTCCGTTCACCTCATGTCAGTCAGTGCTGGAAATTCCGTTCACCTCATGTCAGTCAGTGCTTGAAACTCTGTTCACCTCATGTCAGTCAGTGCTTGAAACTCCGTTCACCTTTTGTTAATCAGTGCTGAAAACAACGTTCACCTCAGACTGGTCAGTGCTGGAAATTCCGTTCAACTCATGTCAGTCAGTGCTTGAAACTCCGTTCACCTTATGTGAGTCAGTGCTTGAAACTTCGTTCACCTCATGTCAGTCAGTGCTGGAAACTCTGTTCACCTCGTGTCAGTCAGTTCTGGAAATTCTGTTCACCTCATGTCAGTCAGTGCTTGAGCCTCCGTTCACCTCATGTGAGTCAGTGCTTGAAACTCCGTTCACCTCATGTCAGTCGGTGCTGGAAACTCCGTTCACCTCATGTCAGTCAGTGCTGGAAACTCCCTTCACCTCATGTCTGTCAGTGCTGGAAACTCCGTTCACCTCATGTCAGTCAGTGCTGGAATCTCCGTTCACCTCATGTCAGTCAGTGCTTGAGACTCCGTTCACCTCATGTCAGTCAGTGCTGGAAACTTCGTTCACCTCATGTTGTCAGTGCTGGAAACTCTGTTCACCTCAAGTCAGTCAGTGCTTGAACCTCCGTTCACCTCATGTCAGTCAGTGCTCGAAATTCCGCCCACCTCAAGTCAGTCAGTGCTTGAAACTCCGTTCACCTCATGTCAGTCAGTGCTTGAAACTCCGTTCACCTTTTGTTAATCAGTGCTGAAAACAACGTTCACCTCAGACTGGTCAGTGCTGGAAATTCCGTTCACCTCATGTCAGTCAGTGCTTCAAACTCCGTTCACCTCATGTTAGTCAGTGCTGAAAACTCCGTTCACCTCATGTTAGACAGTGCTTGAAACTCCGTTCACCTCAGAGTAGTCAGTTCTGGAAACTCTGTTCACCTCATGTTAGTCAGTGCTTGAAACTCCGTTCACCTCATGTGAGTCAGTGCTTGAAACTCCGTTCACCTCATGTTAGACAGTGCTGGAATCTCTGTTCACCTCATGTCAGTCAGTGCTGGAAACTCTGTTCACCTCATGTCAGTCAATGTTTGAAACTCTGTTCACCTGATGTCAGTTAGTGCTGGAATATCTGTTCACCTCATGTCAGTCAGTGCTGGAAGCTCTGTTCACCTCATATCAGTCAGTGCTGGAAACTCTGTTCACCTCATGTTAGTCAGTGCTTGAAACTCCGTTCACCTCATGTCAGTCGGTGCTGGAAACTCCGTTCACCTCTTGTCAGTCAGTGCTGGAAACTCCCTTCACCTCATGTCAGTCAGTGCTGGAAACTCCGTTCACCTCATGTCAGTCAGTGCTGGAATCTCCGTTCACCTCATGTCAGTCAGTGCTTGAGACTCCGTTCACCTCATGTCAGTCAGTGCTGGAAACTTCGTTCACCTCATGTTGTCAGTGCTGGAAACTCTGTTCACCTCATGTCAGTCAGTGCTCGAAATTCCGCCCACCTCAAGTCAGTCAGTGCTTGAAACTCCGTTCACCTCATGTCAGTCAGTGCTTGAAACTCCGTTCACCTTTTGTTAATCAGTGCTGAAAACAACGTTCACCTCAGACTGGTCAGTGCTGGAAATTCCGTTCACCTCATGTCAGTCAGTGCTTCAAACTCCGTTCACCTCATGTTAGTCAGTGCTGAAAACTCCGTTCACCTCATGTTAGACAGTGCTTGAAACTCCGTTCACCTCAGAGTAGTCAGTTCTGGAAATTCCGTTCACCTCATGTCAGTCAGTGCTGGAATCTCCGTTCACCTCATGTCAGTCAGTGCTGGAATCTCCGTTCACCTCATGTCAGTCAGTGCTTGAGACTCCGTTCACCTCATGTCAGTCAGTGCTGGAAACTTCGTTCACCTCATGTTGTCAGTGCTGGAAACTCTGTTCACCTCAAGTCAGTCAGTGCTTGAACCTCCGTTCACCTCATGTCAGTCAGTGCTCGAAATTCCGCCCACCTCAAGTCAGTCAGTGCTTGAAACTCCGTTCACCTCATGTCAGTCAGTGCTTGAAACTCCGTTCACCTTTTGTTAATCAGTGCTGAAAACAACGTTCACCTCAGACTGGTCAGTGCTGGAAATTCCGTTCACCTCATGTCAGTCAGTGCTTCAAACTCCGTTCACCTCATGTTAGTCAGTGCTGAAAACTCCGTTCACCTCATGTTAGACAGTGCTTGAAACTCCGTTCACCTCAGAGTAGTCAGTTCTGGAAACTCTGTTCACCTCATGTTAGTCAGTGCTTGAAACTCCGTTCACCTCATGTGAGTCAGTGCTTGAAACTCCGTTCACCTCATGTTAGACAGTGCTGGAATCTCTGTTCACCTCATGTCAGTCAGTGCTGGAAACTCTGTTCACCTCATGTCAGTCAATGTTTGAAACTCTGTTCACCTCATGTCAGTTAGTGCTGGAATATCTGTTCACCTCATGTCAGTCAGTGCTGGAAGCTCTGTTCACCTCATATCAGTCAGTGCTGGAAACTCTGTTCACCTCATGTTAGTCAGTGCTTGAAACTCCGTTCACCTCATGTCAGTCGGTGCTGGAAACTCCGTTCACCTCTTGTCAGTCAGTGCTGGAAACTCCCTTCACCTCATGTCAGTCAGTGCTGGAAACTCCGTTCACCTCATGTCAGTCAGTGCTGGAATCTCCGTTCACCTCATGTCAGTCAGTGCTTGAGACTCCGTTCACCTCATGTCAGTCAGTGCTGGAAACTTCGTTCACCTCATGTTGTCAGTGCTGGAAACTCTGTTCACCTCATGTCAGTCAGTGCTCGAAATTCCGCCCACCTCAAGTCAGTCAGTGCTTGAAACTCCGTTCACCTCATGTCAGTCAGTGCTTGAAACTCCGTTCACCTTTTGTTAATCAGTGCTGAAAACAACGTTCACCTCAGACTGGTCAGTGCTGGAAATTCCGTTCACCTCATGTCAGTCAGTGCTTCAAACTCCGTTCACCTCATGTTAGTCAGTGCTGAAAACTCCGTTCACCTCATGTTAGACAGTGCTTGAAACTCCGTTCACCTCAGAGTAGTCAGTTCTGGAAACTCTGTTCACCTCATGTTAGTCAGTGCTTGAAACTCCGTTCACCTCATGTGAGTCAGTGCTTGAAACTCCGTTCACCTCATGTTAGACAGTGCTGGAATCTCTGTTCACCTCATGTCAGTCAGTGCTGGAAACTCTGTTCACCTCATGTCAGTCAATGTTTGAAACTCTGTTCACCTGATGTCAGTTAGTGCTG